TGCACTGAGATGGCCGGTATGGCTCAACGCTTTGATCGCACAGCACCTCCCCAGGCTGTGGTCTCAGGGAGAGGCCAGTGGGACAGGTGGTAGAAAAGAGATAGAGTGAGCTATTTGTTAGTACCCTCATCTGGCCGTCAAACTGGGAGTAGCAGCTATTCTGTGCCACGAGCATTGGACCACGCCCTCCACAGAGAACCAGGGCTGCTAGGACCCCTTTACCCTTGCAGGTGGCACGTAGTAGAGTTGCATATCACTATTTGTTGAATAGAATGAACTTCCCCCTCATGCCCCTCTGCAAAACACATGTGTGACCCATTTTAGAGATGAGGATGTGCTCAAGTAAATTGCTTGAGGCAATCAGCCCAAATTCACCAAGCTAGAGAGTGGCAGAAGCTCTTCATAGGAACTTCCTCTGGGTTTGCAGAACACAAAGGCTTCTAGGTCCCTGGAAAATTGTGAGGGGTATTTTGAAATGACAGTATTTTGAAATGGCTTTGCTCCCTGATTGGACAATGGATGGGTTCAAGAGACTACTTCAACCTGCTCTATTTATTAAATCAAAAAAAAAAAAAAAAATTGAGTTTGGAGGGCCAAGAAACCTGGGCTTGGGGCTTGATGTATGTCCTCATTAATCACCTGCCTCAAACCTATATAGTAAAGTGCTGTTGATGACTTCCATGTTTCCCAGGAGGGGCGGTGGCTCAGAGCAGTTCAGCAGCTCCATCACCCCACTCCAGAGCTCTTTGGTCCTATCCGAACTAGCCATTCACTTTTAGCTAGTCACAGTCAAGCCAGGAGGAAATCCACCCACAAAACAAAACTTTAACCCTTAGTATCCATGCAAATAGCATCACCACCTCCACCACCCCTGCCTTGCTCCGAGAAACCTAAGAGTACCAGAAAAGGGGACAAGGCTGAATATCTCCCTGCTGTGTCCTGCAAACTAAGCCAGGTGAGGCCCAACCTCCCTACAAGTGCCCCGTCTTGGAGCCTGCTGCAGTGGTGCACCCCTGTAATCCCAGCTGCTCAGGAGGCTGAAGCAAGAGGATCAAGTTAAAGCCAGACTCAGCAACTTAGCAAGGCCCTAAGCAACTCAGTCTCAAAATAAAATATATTAAGGGCTGGGGATGTGGCTCAGTGGTTAAGCACCCCTGAGTTCAATCCCTGCTACCAAAATAAAAGTGCCCTTTTAGTGCCCCTCCTTAGCCAGCCCATCACCCAGCAGGAGTTGGCAGAGGCTGGAGGGCACTGCCATGAGATGGCTCCTTGCTCTCTACCCAGAAAGGTACCAGGCCTGAAGCAGAGCCAGACAGGACCTGGAACTCCATTCAAATTGCAAGTGACAGTGACTAAGCACCTTTTCTTCCTGCTCAAGGGAAGCAGGCCTGGCAAGTCTTGGCTGGGCTCCAATACTGGCACTAACCTCTCAGAAGTGCCCTGCCCTCGCCTTCCTCAGGCCTTCTGGGATGACTCAGAGTGTCAACAATGCAATCTGGGCTTGGGTTTGGGATTGGACAAGGACACACAGGGTCCTGTCTGCAGTAGCAACCAGGGGAAAAAAGAAAAAAACTTTCCTGGAAGCTCCCTGCTGACTGGAGTGAAAGTGCAAATGTTGTTCTTTACAGTATAAAAGCAAAAGCAAACAAATGTTCTGATGAAAAAGGGACAGGTTGACCTCCCTCTGCATCAACAGTAATACTAGGGTAGAAAAGAGTAGGAATTAAAAAGCGAGATAAACCAGCAAGATGGGCAGCATGTTCATGTAAAATATTTACATAGATAAGTAGAAAAAAAATAAGACTTTAAGGAAATAATTGAAAAATCAGTGGTGACTTCTGGATGCTGGAGGGCATGGAACGATAATGGTTTCTTTTCCTTTTTTTTTTTCCTCTTTTGTACCAAGGATTGAGTCCAGGGGTGCTTAACCACTGAGCCACATCCCCAGCCCTTTTTATATATTTATTTTGAGACAGGGTCTCGCTAAGTTGCTTAGAGCCTCACTAAATTGCTGAGGCTGGCAATGAATTTGCAATCCTCATGCCTCAGCCTTCCAAACTGCTGGGATTACAGATCCAACTGAATAATAAACTAGTTTTCTTGTGTGCACAGGAGATTAACAGATTTGTTTCAAGGTATTGGCTACTCCATTTGGGGGTAAATTGGAAAACTTCAAGCTGGTGGGGCAAGTTGGAAATCTTCAAGGCAGATTGGACTCTTGGCCCTAGGGAAGCTGTATTCCACAAAGGAATTTTTTCCTTTACAACCTCTCAAGAGGGTGAATCAGGTCCACCCAGATTATTTTTATGATCTCCTTTACTTAAAATCAACTGATTATGGATTTTAATCACATCTACAAAATTACCCCCCACCCCCTGCATTTTTGTTACTGAGGATTGAACCCAGGGGCACTTTACTCCTTAGGTACATCCCCAGGCTTTGTTATTTTTTTATTTTGAGACAGGGTCTCCCTAAATTGCTGAGGCTGGCCTCAAACTAGGAATCCTCCTACCTTAGCCTCCAGAGTCACTGGGATTACAGTCACTGGGATTACCATGCCACTGAATTCAGCACATCTACAAAATTCTACCACAGCAACACCTAGATTAGTGTTGGATTGAATAACTGGGAACACACAGACTAGGCAAACTAATTCTTAAGATTGACCACAAACTGGGCGTTGTGGCATTCATCTGTAATCCCAATGACATGGGAGGCTGAGGCAAGAGGATTACAAATTCAAGATCAGCTTTAGCAATTTAGGCCCTGAGCAATTTAGGGAGACCCAGTCTCAAAAAATATAAATGGGCCATTAGGGATGTGGCAGAGTGGTTAATCACCCCTGGGTTCAATCCCTGCTATCAAAAAAAAAAAAAAAGTGCCCTTTTAGTGCCCCTCCTTAGCAGCTCATCACCCAACAGGAGTTGGCAACGGCTGCAGGGCACTGCCATGAGATGGCTCCTTGCTCTCTACTCAGAAAGGTACCAGACAGGACCCAGCCCTCCATTCAAATTGCAAGTTACAGTGACTAAGCACCTCTTCTTCCTGCTCAAGGAAAGCGGGCCTGGCAAGTCTTGGCTGGGCTCTGATACTGGCACTAACCTGGGTTAAAGCCTAGTACCAAAAAGAGAGAGAGAGAGAGAGAGTGCAAGAGAGAAAGATAATTAGAAACTAAGTTTACACACATCGATGTTCAAAGCAGCATTATTCATAATATCAAAACGACCCAGGACTGGGGCTGTAGCTCAGTGGTAGAGTGCTTTACGAAGCACGTGTGAGGCACTGGGTTTGATCCTCAGCACCACATAAGAATGAATAAATGAGGGCTGGGGATGTGGCTCAAGCGGTAGTGAGCTCGCCTGGTATGCGTGCGGCCTGGGTTCGATCCTCAGCACCACATACACACAAAGATGTTGTGTCCGCCAAAAATTAAACAATAAAAATAAATAAAAATTATAAAAAAAAAGAATGAATAAATGAAATAAAGGTATCATGTCCATCTACATCTATAAATAAATAAATAAATAAGTTAAAAAAGAAAAAAAAAACCAAATGCCCATCAACTGTCAAACAACAAATGGTATACTCATACAATGGTATGTTATTCATCAATAAAAAAGAATAAAGTACTAAGCCATTCTGCAACATAAATGAACATTGAAAACATCCTACTCCACTGAATGAAAGAAGCCAGACACAACCTGAGACCGGAGTGATGTTACCTCAGGTAGATGCTGTCAGAATTGAATTGAATTAGGAGATCCCAGCTGGTGTCTGCTGCAGAATTGCTTAATGAGGAGATATGGCCATACATTTTGGTGACCAGGAGTCACAGAAATATTGTATTGTACTGAGAGTATAAGAATAGGAAAGTTGCCAGGCTTGGTGGGGCACACTTTTCCTTTCCTTTTCTAAGTTAGCAATACTGCGGTGTTGCAAGGAATCCAACACGTGCTCACAAGTAGCCTGGCAAGGCTAACTCGAAAAGCTACAGAACAGAGTCTAGCAAGCAAGCACACTTGGGCTGGCAGTCCCCCTGGGTTTATCCCTAACTCAGCACCGCCCCTTGCTCTGATACGAGGAGCTGGGAGTTACGATCTCCGCCATTGGCTAGCTAATTTTAAAATTGGGGCGGGCAAAGGGAAGGACTCTAGTTAAAATGGCCCTGATTGGATACAGGTTCGGGAGCTCAAAATGCCTACAGTGGATCTTACATCCCAATTAAGACTAAGCGCAATATTTTGAAAATGGACCACCAGACTTTCTATTTCTCCCATCTATCCCCTAATACCCAAAGTCACTGAATTGTACCCTTTAAAAAGGTAAATTTCACCAGGTACAGTGGTGCACACCTGTAATCCCAGCAACTTGGGAGGCTAAGGCAGGAGGATCACAAGTTCCAGACCAGCCTCGCAACTTACAGAAACCCTGTCTCAAAATGGAAATTAAAAGGACTGAAGATGAGCCAGGGCAGTGGTGCACGCCTGTAATCCCAGTGGCTCGGGAAGATGAGGCAGGAGGATCGCCAGTTCAAAGACAGCCTCAGCGATTTAGTGAGGCACTAAGCAACTCAGTGAGACCCTGTCTCTAATAAAATATAAAATAGGGCTGGGGATGTGGCTCAGTGGTCGGGTGCCCCTGAGTTCAATCCTTGGTAACCCCCACTCCAAAAAAAAAAAAAAGGACTGAAGGTGAAGCTCAGTGATAGAATCCCTCTGAATTCAATCCCTAATGGTGGAAGGGGAAAAAAGGGAACCCATTTCATGATGTGTTATCATATGTCAATTTTAAAAAATAAAGTCAGCACAAGAGGAAGTCAAGAAACAAGAAAGCCTTGTGTGCTTGGTTGAACTGGCTCCCAGGAAAGTCCCAGGAAAGAGACCACAGAGAGACTCTCTAGTGTCTCTGGGCTCCCTTTCCCACCCTTTCCTCCCTTGAATGAGACTCCCACTGAAAGACCCGCCGATTCCCTGTCCAAGAAAGACGCACGAGGCACTGGCTGCAAACGCAAGAGGTGATTTATTGCTACACAGGCGCCTGCGGGTGCTCAGCGAAACCTCAGCCGGAGCTTCGGTGAACTGGCACACCGGGCTTTGGGGTACAGATCTTTTATAGGGTACAGTGGTCAGTTTCCCTCCTAGCACAGTAACAGGTATCTCATTGGCTCTTTTGAATCCAGCATATAGGTCACTTAAAGGGTAAACTTGTTTTTCCTATAGGTTCCTGGAAAAACCACATAAAAACCATTTGTTATTCATTGTATGGTTTTTCATTGTATGATCCCGTTTGCCCAACCGTGCCGGCTCCTTTCCCAACCATCCTGTCCTTTCTTAATCGTTTACACTTAACTGATTTTCTGAAAAATACATCTGACGTCTGTGCAGGTGCGGAAGCAAGCCCTGGTGATTTATTACTGGGCCTAAAGTTATTGGGCTGGGGTCTTTCATTCCCCCCTTTTTCTTTATCATGGATAGAATCTTATATCCATTGTCCTGCTTGCTCAGGTTCTTGGATTAAGCTCGTTTGTGACCCTGTCTGTTGTTGAAGCAACTGGTATTGCTGAGTAAGGACCATAGTCTGGATTACAGAAAGTCTTTCTTTTATAAACTGCACCAATCTATTGAGTATGCAGGGTCCAAACGTCAGGATTATCAGCAAAATAATTAAAGGTCCCGCTCTGGTGGATAGCAAAGTAGTTAACCATGGGGATTTGTTAAACCAATGTTCAAACCATCCTTGTTGTGCTTCAAAATTTTTTTTTTGCCTTTTTGCCAACCTTTTAGTGACTTTCTCCATAGTTTCCCGGACCACCCCCTTATGGTCAGCATAAAAACAACACTGTTTCTTTAAAACCATACAGAGACCATCTTTCCTAAGGAATCACAGATTTAATCCCCTCCTATTTTGTAGCACGACTTCTGCGAGGGAAGAGAGAGATTTCTCTAAGGCAGTGATAGACTTGGTCACTTGATATTAGACCCCTGATTTATCTAACTACACTGACTACCTAACTTTAAATCTGGCTTCATTTTTTTTTTTTCCCCTAATTTGGGAACTCCTTACTGCTGTGAGGAAGGGGGACGAAGAGAATCTTTCTGGCTTCTTCAGGCTGAAAAGGGACGGCGTGGGGCAAGCAGTTTGGAGTCCCCCTTAAAAATATCGGGTCTATCGAGTGGTCCATGATGAAAGTCTAATTGAGAAGTAATAGGTTGGAGGGCCATTTGAGTGATGGGTGGTCTATAAGAGAAACAAGAACTTATTAGTACTGGAACCATATTGATGCAGTAATAAATGCCACAGCACAGAAATATGCCAATGAATATAATGGCCAAGACAAAGATTAACAATGTTTTTCATCAGGCAGTACCAGGAACTAGGAGCTAGTATATTGTTTCCACGAAAAAGTTGCTGAGGACATGGCTTCCATCTGAGCAGGTAAATCTTTAAGGATATTTGTCACATTGTCAGAAATGTCAGGGATGTCAACACAACAACTAACATGTAGGGTTACAGATGTCTTTTCCTTTAAGATATAGTTTAATAATTTAATGCCATCTGATCCTGCAAAATCCTTTTACTAGTATGACCTCTGTGTCTAATAGAGAAATCTTTAATTCTGCTACTTAGGGCTGGATAACCATATTAGCAAACATCAAGCCTACCTGCGTTGGCTAGAAATAAAGGCCTTAGACTAAAACTACTCTAGCAGTCCCTTTGACAGTTATCAGGCATTTCTGTCTAAGAATCTCTTTTGTAGCCTCCAGTCTACTTATTTATGGAAGTTACATTTAACTATTATTATCATTTAAGATGTCCAGGAACAGCTGTGCTTTGGCTTTGACTGTCTTTGCTAAGTGTTTAAGATGAAGCAAGTCAAACTGACTTTTGTTTCTACCTATTGTTTACAGTCAGCTGAGTTATCCTGGGAGTCCTCGGGAACTTCATAGCAGCTTTTCAGTTCTGCTAGTGCCATTTGCGCTAGGATGGGTCCAGGCCTTGCTTGACCATATGGCTTCCCTCAGAAGCATCAGGGATGTCTTCCTTTTTTAATGACCCTCCTCTTTACAGCAAATGCACCGATTGGCTTTCTGTCCTCCACTGGTCTCATTAATCTCCCTGCTCAGGAGGTTATGTGGCCTAGAGTTGCTGAGCCCTTTGGAGAAGTCCCCTATTCCCTGATTCAGACTGACTCAGAGGGCAAGAGCCAAATATTGGGTTTTTTTGGCCCTTTTAATTTAACTAATTTTAAAAACTTGATCTTAAACATCCAGCAAATAAGTTAACAGCCTTATATTAAGAGCACTGGGCTTTAATGTCTATCTCTTTATCCTGTAGGTGATAACTCCTTATCTTATGTTGACCCAGGTTGTGTTCTTAAAGCAATATCTCTTTAAAACATTAACAGGCAATCCTTAAACCATCTATAAGCAAACTACAAAACAAAACTAGCTAGGGTAAAAACATATTTAGCTTATATAATAGCTACCTTGAATTCTGGCAGGGTTATACATCATAATTTCCTGTTTGAGATCCTAGTAATCTTGGCAAAAACCTACTTTTGGACACAACTTTAACTGTACTGAAATCTGGCTTACTTCTTTTATAGCCACTTTCACATGTAGTGAGATGGGACAGAGCCTTATCTCAAGTAAGGCAGGGCTCTTTATAAATCTCAAGTACTATAGTTCTGAAGCTGATCATTTTACAAAGTTTACATAAATTGTTGTTCAAGTTTACATGAACTTTAGCTAACACAACATAATATCACACTTAAAACATGAATTAAAGGCTGAAAGCTTTTAACCTCTTGTAGAAAAGTAGTAATGTACTTTTGTGTTTTGCAATAAAACCTTCACACAGATTAGGCTCTTATTAACTTAAAAATACATAAATTGTATCTTAGAGTAGAAAGTAACATGGAACAGTACATATCTTATTGATAACAAGTTCAGTTATAGAACACAAATGATATAATTGAATCTCTAACATGTTTTTTTTTTTAAGCCTAAAATTACCATACAACTTTAGAACACCAGCTTGATATAATGTTCTTTTGAAGCTTCTACCTTACAGACTTGTATACCTGGAAGATATGAACACATTAATAACACCATAATTACATAAACCTCCTTTTGTTCACATTTTGAAACAATACTTGTAAACTTTTAAATTTAAGCAGAGTTAACATTTTATTAGGGCCTTTTTGAACACCTAGAGAAACTTATAAGCTTAATTTTGAGGACATCTTTATTTTTATCTGTTTACCCAATCTAAATTGAACAGTTTGAATCACGTGAATTAAAGATATTTGGATCTATTTTTAATTTTTTTTTTTTTTATGAGCGCTCCTCATCTGTCAATTGTTATATCACTGCAGGATATATGGACATATACACATACAGACATACCGACATATAACACATAACAAGAGTGTGCACACATAACAATTAATAAAGGCCTCGTAGCTTTTCGCAGATGAAATCTCCATTGCAATGTTTTTGTGTTTTTTTTTTTTTTTTTTTTTTTTTTTTAAAACTTCACTGATCAGAAAAACATTAACCTAGGTCTGCAGGATCAGAATCACGAGCTCAAAAAAATACAGAATCTAAGAAAAAACAAGAGTCCTAAAAAAAAGATGACTGGCCAGTAGTTAGTAAATACCATACAATTTACTTCAAGTTATATTTCCAGGTTTAGATGTTGAAAATTATGATACAAATTTAAGAAGTAATTCCCAAAATTTAAAATTTTATATCTTTTTACATTAGAAAAACTTGTTCACATAAAACTGGAAATAGGACCTCTACCATCAGAAGAAATTTCTTTAGTACCTCTAAGCCACTTTGCTTGTTCTAAAGTTCCTAAAGTAGCATTGAGTTACATTAAATTTGCTCACACACTACCATATATATCTGAAATTAAGCTTTGAAAATTTCTAAGACTATTGCTATTTAATTATCTAATGTCATTTTTATGAGCCAGACCAACGTTTTAATTTCTTTTCAGGCTACCCAGTTCAAAATTGAAACTCTTTAATTTTTTTATCCCAAGTATTTAAGTTTTCTAGCATGAACTATCTGAAATCAAACTAAACAATTGCTTAAACCCAACTTTTAACTGCAAGATAGTGCAATGCTTTAGAAACCCATTCAGATACCAGATTGTTACAATAAAAATTATTATTATTATTTTTTTTTTTTTTGGACACACATTTAACCTAGATTATCCCTAAGAAACAATCAGACAACCAGATAAGAAAATATCTCTCCAGGTTTTGAACTTTCATTTAATTATGACTCCCATCAGTGGCACCATAGACTTTCCCATGAGTGGACCAGATGTTTTCACGTAGGGGCAACTATAGGTGTAAAATCAAGGGTCTCAGTGTGACTGGCTTTACTGCATTCAGTGTCCCTTCTTTTTAAGTAAACAGAGGTGGTGTAATCCCTAAGATGTAGATAAGGACCCAGGGAACTCCCCAGAGCTAAATGGCTCTGGCAGCTGCTGGGAGTCCCTTAATCCTATCTTTCACCCATAGGATCAGTTCCTCCAGTTTGGTTTGACCTTAGGCATTAGGCATTTTTTTTTTCTTCTTAATTTTTACTGACTGGTTGTCTGCCCGATTTCGGACGTCCTGCCAATGGTCAAGGGTGAGACTCAAAGGAGTTGTTATGGATTGCCCCATGTTAGTCTTAGATGGAGTGAGAAAGTGCAAAGGCAAGAAGACAGACACAAATATCAGACTGGACACAGAGAACGCTGCGCGGCTCGAGCACAAACCGAACGTACCTGACGGATTAGGGAGAGGAGGGATACCGTCACCTCCGTCACCCACGAGTACAGTGTACTCTACAGAACATTGGAGGCCCCCCCAAGATGGGCCTCCCTGAGCCCCTGGGACGTCTCCCAGGGTGGCAGGGGAGAAGTCCGAGTTCGTCAACTCCTTCTCAAGCTGCCCAGAATACAGAGCAATTACGCGTAATCGTACAGACGCTGCGCATGAACAGATAACAAGATAACAACCAGACAGAGAGAGACACAAAATGACACGAACTGGCCAGCTTACCTCCCAGTGGTTATCGGGTGTTCCTCGGGCAGGGATCCGGATGGGGTTACAGGAGTTCTCCTGGCTGGCTCGCCAAATGAAAGACCCGCCGATTCCCTGTCCAAGAAAGACGCACGAGGCACTGGCTGCAAACGCAAGAGGTGATTTATTGCTACACAGGCGCCTGCGGGTGCTCAGCGAAACCTCAGCCGGAGCTTCGGTGAACTGGCACACCGGGCTTTGGGGTACAGATCTTTTATAGGGTACAGTGGTCAGTTTCCCTCCTAGCACAGTAACAGGTATCTCATTGGCTCTTTTGAATCCAGCATATAGGTCACTTAAAGGGTAAACTTGTTTTTCCTATAGGTTCCTGGAAAAACCACATAAAAACCATTTGTTATTCATTGTATGGTTTTTCATTGTATGATCCCGTTTGCCCAACCGTGCCGGCTCCTTTCCCAACCATCCTGTCCTTTCTTAATCGTTTACACTTAACTGATTTTCTGAAAAATACATCTGACGTCTGTGCAGGTGCGGAAGCAAGCCCTGGTGATTTATTACTGGGCCTAAAGTTATTGGGCTGGGGTCTTTCACCACCAGCCTAGTGCACAGTGCCCCAAAGTCTGCAGATGTCCTAGAGAAAAGGATCTGCAAAACCCTGCCATTTCTCTCCTCTCATTGCATTTTTTCCCCCTTATATTGGGGATTGAATCCAGGGCACTTAACTATTGAGCCATATCGCCAGCCCTTTTCATATTTTATTTTGAGACAGAGCCTAAATTGCTTAGGGCCTCCCTAAGTTGTGGAGGCTGGCTATGAACTTTTGATCCTCTTGCCTCAGCCTCCTGAGCCCCTGGGATTACAGGGGCTGTAATCCCAGGCCTACTGAGCCCTTTTTATTTTTTATTTTGAGAAAGGACCTTAGTTGTCCAGGCTGGCCTCAAACTTGTGATTCTCCTGCCTCAACCAAAAGGAATGGGCCACCTTGCCTGGCCATTCCACTTACCTTTTTTCCTGGTCACCAGGGTCCAATACCCTCCCCACCCCTACACTTCACTGCCTGAAGAAGTCATTTACTAGAACATGTTAGTGGTCTTTCAACCTTCCAGACCCAGACAGAGAATGGCCCCACAAATTTCTAACCCAGCACACAAGGCCAGGCATGATGGGAGAACCCAACCTCTGGGTTGCAAGAATAAACCCATTTTACAGATGTGGGAAAACTGAGGCTCAAGGAAGGATAAAGATCCAGCCACAGCCAAGTAGGCTCTGGATCCTCTCTCTGTTCTCTCCCCCAAGCCCACAATAAGATCTCACCAGTTAGTGGCAAAAGTTGACTGAGCCAGCAGAACCAGAATTTCTGGGGAGCTCTTTGCCAAATATGTATCCAGAGCCCTGGAAGGATTGCCACCCTCTGACCCAGTAGTTTCTCATTTAGAACTCTGGTTTAGGAGGTAATCCTGCAAAAGGACAAGGACAAAGGCAACAAAATTCAGGGTAGCATGTAATGGTGAAAAACTGGAAATAGTCCACTCATCTGTAGGAATAGTTAATAAATGAGGAAATAGCCCTATGACTGGACAATACACAGCTAGTAAAAGTGATGTCTTTAGCCAGGCACGGTGGCACACGACTGAAATCCAAGCAACTTGGGAGGCAGAGCCAGGAGGATCCCAAGTTCAAGGCCAGCTTCAGCAATTTAGTGAGGCTCTAAGCCACTTGGTGAGACCTATCTCAAAACAAAAAAAAATAAAAAGGGCCAAAAGTGTAGCTCAGTGATAAAGGACCCCTGGGTTCAATCCCTCGAACAACAACAACAAAAAAAGATGTCTGAAGAATTCAAAAATGCTAGTGTAAAAAATAGTATCTATTTGGTATGTATATATATAATTTTTTTTTCCCAAGGATTGAACCCAGAGGTCCCTTACCACAGAGCTACAATCTCAGCCCTTTTTATTTTATTTTGAGATAGGGTCTCACAAATGGTTTAGGGCCTCACTAAATTGCCAAGGCTGACCTTGAATTGGTGATCTTCCTTCCCAAATTGCTGGGATTACAGGCGTGCACCACCACACCCACTGCATTCTCTCTTGAATGTGTATCTACTTCTTAAGTAAACCTCTGTCTATGCCTTTGGTATGCTGAAATCCTTTTTTGTCACTTATGCCAAGAACCAAGACACCAGCCAGTCCTGAATCAAATTCCCCCTTCCCTGTGGGTACTCCTTGGGCCCTTCTCCTGAGACAATAACAATTATAATAAACAATATTCGTCAATTGAATAAATGACTTCTTTTCCTTGGAGATCTGAGGATTGAACCCAGGCCCTTGCACATGCTAGGCAAGCACCCTGCCATTGAGACACATCCCTAGCTCCGAACAAATGGTCTTTAACGGTGGTTCTCTTTGGGTGGAATCTTGCATGATTTTAGTTTAAGTTTAAATTTTCTGTATTTTTTAGGTTTTTACAATGAGTATGTTTTACTTTTTTTGTCTTGTTTGTTACTAGGGATTGAACCCAGGGGTGCTTAATCACTGAAATACATTCCCAGCTTCTTTTATGTTTCATTTTGAGACATGATCTTGCTAAATTGCAGAGGCCAGCCTTGAATTTATGATCCTCCTGCCTCAGCCTCCCAAATTGCAGGATTACAAGCATGCACCACTGTGCCTGGCTATATGTTTTACTTTTATAATTAGAAATTGAAATTGTTTAAAGAAATTGAAACAAATACAGAAAAATCAGAGCTTCTTATGAGTGAGTTGAACAAATAGTGTTCTTACCTCAAAAGAGACAAGCCTGCACAATCACCCCTCAAGGACTCATCTCAGGCCACTGCTGGCGGAGAGCCCTGGACCTGAGTCAAAGGAAGTGTCCCAAGGATATAAAAGTTAGTGTCTGCTGCACTGCGAGCCCTGTGCTGGCTTGGGGCTCACAGCATCCAGCCCAGGCGTGCCCCGGGAACACACACACATGGACCCAGCCCTGCCAAAGCGATGCCCAGCCCTGTCACTCAGGAACGCAGCTGCTCGGGGCCATTCACGCCTCATCGATGCCCACTTGGTGTTCAGCGGACGGCAGACATGCCGGGGCACATCAGAGTAGCTTTGTCCTGAGTTGCATGCAGATAGCCACGCAAGGGCAAGGGCACCCACACAGCCCGGGGCTTTGCTCTCAACCCAAAAACCTCCCAGGCAGCAGCCTGGCTTATGAAATCCAGGCACAGCTTTACATAATCGTGGGAAATGAAAAGAAAAAGTACATTCATACAAATGCACCCCCACCAACCTCAATAATGTTTTCAAGATGGAATTTTATTTTCCTTTCTTTTTTTTTTTTGATTATAAAAGCCAACTATGTTCATTGCCATTATATCCCAACAACAACAACAACAAAAAGAAATGGGCAAAGAAACTCAGGCCCACCCTCCCAAGTCCACCTTAGCTTGGAAACTATCTTTGTAGACTTTTTGCTTCGACCATATAAACGATACCCAAGTGCATAAATGTACACACGTGCTTTTATTTATTTATTTTTATTTTTGGTGGTACTGGGGAATTAAACCCAGGGATCCTCTACCACTGAGCTACACCCCAAACCCTATTTATTTTACTTTATTTTATTTTAATTTTTGTCCCAAGACAAGGTCTCGCTAGGTTGCCACGGCTGACCTCAAACTTGCAATCCTCCTGCCTCAGCCTCCTGTGTCACTGGGACTACAGGCATGTGCCACCAGGCTGGGCTTTTATTTTTTCTTGATAAAAAGGCTCTACCTCCTGTTCTGTCTCTCACTTTCACTCCCTTAACAATGTATCACCAGCTGGACACGGTGGCACACATCTGTAATACCAGCAGCTCCAGAGGCAGAGGCAAGAGGATTATGAGTTCAAAGCCAGCCTCAGCAATTTAGCAAGGTGCTACACAACTCAGTGAGACCCTGTCTCTAAATAAAATACAAAATAGGGCTGGGATGTGGCTCAGTGGTCAAGTGTCCCTGAGTTCAATCCCTGGTTAAAAAAAAAAAAAGTTTCATAGCCATCCCAGAATAGAGTGGTATGGTCTTTAAGAATTAATCAGTCCTTTGGGAAAGCACTGAACCTAAAGCTGCCCAGCTCCAGAAACCAAAGTCATAGCAGATTGGCCTGCAATTTTCGCTGGAGAGTTCCCAGAACCCCAACACAAGAGAGAGTCCTATTAACAATGCTGAGTCCTAGGCCCCATGACAGAGGCTAATTCAGGAAGTTTGATGCGGTATCCAAAGATCTGCATGATTTTTTTTTTTTTTTTGTTTGTTTGTTTGTTTGTTTTGTTTGGCACCAGGGATTGATCCCAGGGGTGCTTAACCCCTGAGCTGCATCCTCAGCCCTTTTTATATTTGATTTAGAGACGTCTCGCTGAGTTGCTTGGGGCCTCACCAAGTTGCTGAGGCTGGCTTTGAACTCACGATCCTCCTGCCTCAGCCTCCTGAGCGACTGGGATTATAACCATAGTGTCCAGATTGTGCGGAGGCTTTTGCTGCAAGAGCCTGGGCCTTCATGTCTTAGGGTGTGCCAGCCCTGGGGCTGACAGCAGAAAGAACTGGGCCTTGACTCTTCCCTGAGCCTTTGCCAAGGTCTGTGGACTCTGAGGAGGGCCAAAAAGGTGCTGTGATGATGCCACCAGCGATGTCCAGGGCAGGGCGAGACAGGGCGCAACAGGAGAGGGATCTAGGTATGTGTGCCAGTGTGAAAGAGGGTGAGTGTGAGCAAGTGTGAATGAGAGTGAATGCCTTGGGTGTGCACAGGAGAACACGAGACTGAGTGTGAGGATGTGCAAGGAAGTGCCCATGTTTGTGTCTGAGAATATGAGTGTATGTGTGTGTGTGTGTGTGTGTGTGACAATCCTAAAACCTGGGCTTCCTCACTCCTAGCCCAAGTGCAGCCCTTTCAGGTCCCCATAGGTTCCCCCAGAAGTGGCATCCATGCACCTGCATGGCCCTTCTCCCATCCCACTCACCCCTGCCCAGCCTGGCTAAATGGTCCTGGAATTTCCTGCTGAGGCATGCTCAGAATCCTCCTGTTCCACATTCCACCCCAGCAGGCTTTAGTCAGCACTGTCTAGTGCCCAAAGCCAATCTCCTGCCAATAACCAACTCGGTGGCAACGCTCAGCTACATGCCACCCCTCACTCCTATTTTCCTCTCAGGCGTGTGTTTGTGTGTGTGTGTATATGTGTGTGTAAAATATATATATATATATATATATATATATATATATATATATATATATATATTTAATTTAGAGACAGGTTCTCACTGAGTTGCTTAGGGCCTCGTTAAATTGCTGAGGCTGGCCTTGAACTTGAGATCCTCCTGCCTCAGCCTCCCCAGCCACTGGGATTACAGTCATGTGCCACCATGCTCAGCTCAAGTATGTATTGGTGATCCAAGAGGTCCTAGGGAGCCAGCTGTGGGGGACTCTCACAGAGTTCATTGCACCTTCCTGGCTCCTGGAGGGTGCTCTTTGCCCCAGGCACTTCATGGGTCCTGTGGGACAGCTCAGACTTCAGCATCTATCTCTGCTTTCAGGTTGCTGTGGCTTTTGTTGTC